CTGTGACAGCATCACCAGTTCAGCTGAACCTGTGAAGGGAGTATTTCTTATATGCAATCTAGCCATATCTAGCCTGCCTACATGCTCGGCAGGGCTTTTCGAGGCCCTTAGCAATTTTAATCCGTCGATTATTTTGGAGGACGTTTGACAATGTTTGAGATGATGACCGATCATCCGAGCCGTAGCCACCTCCGTGGTCGCCCCAGGGTTGTTTCGTGAGAGTTGGCCAGCAATGTGAGCAAACACTGTGGGTAAATTGAGTAAATTGATTCTTCTTGGCATCCCGTGAATTCAAAGAGTGCTTGACAAGCGCTTGGAATAGTATGTTCTCACTCACTATAGTCCAAAAATTGTGGCCCTTGTTGGCTTATTCTTCCCTTTCCACGACACATGGGGCCTGAGCTGGGGCTCTTCTCATGTTTCACCACCTCAGCGCTCCATCTCGAGCCGCCAGGCAGAAGGTCTCTACCGCCGAGCCTTGGAAGGCGGCGAGTCCCAACTGGGAGCCCAACACCCCGACACCCTCGTCTGGGTGAACAACTTGGCCAATCTCTTGTCCAAGCAGGGCAAGTTGGAGGAGGCCAGGCCGAGGTTCTTGGGGTACACAGAAGTTGCGGAAAGACTGGTACGGGTGAGTTTTCTTGCTTCCCACTTTCACCTCGGACCGAATTTATGATGTTTTATGAATGATTTTGGTGACACGTGTCAAGCAAGCGGGACGTGTCAGGGTCGCAAACTCATGAAACTGTTTCTCCGGAATCCAAGCTTCGGCTGTAGATACCAGATTGGGCCTAATCCGTTTGACTGGGTTGTTGGATCTCAACAGCAGTACATGCATTTTGTGCAAGGGTAGATCAACATTGTCTTCCACGAAGTGAAACTTGGTAGCTCGGTTCTATTTAGAGCTTTGGCTGATGCATTGACAATGCGTGCCAGCTTCACGCAGTACAAGAAAAGCCTTCACCCTGGCTTCGTGGTTCCCACCATCCCATCCTATGCAGATCAGATTCTCAGATTTGCAGGTTTTGGTGTTTGAACAATCAATGTGCCACACTGCACCAACAACACATTGCCTCTCACCAGTTGCGGATCACAGCACGAGGCTCATCTCGCCACGGCATAGGAAGCCACCCTGCTGTCGCCCATCCACAGCCCACCCTGCAGGCGGAGGAGCTCTATCGCAGGGCCCTGACGGGGCGAGAAGATCAGCTGGGCCCCGTGCATCCGGACACCCTCATCTCCGTCTACAATCTGGCAAAGCTTCTGGAGGCCAAAGGCTCCTTCGCAGAGGCAGGCTTCGGTCGGCTGGTGTTGCTGCTTGGGGCGGTTCTGCTTAGAGGGGATGTAGATGTGGGAAGTTGAGTAAAGGGTAAATAAACAGTGATGTCCTGCTGAAACGAGCAGATCTTGTTGGTCCTGGCAAGAGTCTTGGTGAAAGAAATGTTCTTTGAAGCTTTCAAGTTAAGTTTTTGTGGCGTGTTGGTGGAGTACATTTAATTTTACTTGACTTTGATTCCTTGGTTTCCAAATGTTTCCAAACCAAAACTTAGCTGTTTCGAGTTCCCAGACATGGAACAGTGGAACCCGCCAGCCCGGGTCCCCCAGTGGCCACCCATCATGTGCACCGCATCACGTCCAGGCGGAGCAGCTCTATCTCCGCGAGCTACGTGGCATGGAGGCTTCTGCAAGGGTCAGAAGGGAACAGATACTGAAGCCACTTGGTGGCCTTCGGCCTAGACTCTAGACATGACCACATCAGTCCAGCTGGCTGTGGACTTTGGAGTCCCAGACTCATGTCGGTAAACAGTGTCAAGATGTGTCAAGGTTCCTTGAGATGAATTCCATCAAAGACCCAAAGACACAGCATGTTCAAAACAGTTTCATTTATTTTGCAAGAAACATGATCCATCATTTTCCCACTTGCTCCTTTTTCGTGCATTTGGTGCCGCGTTCCGTGTTCCAATTTCAGGCTTTCTGCCAGCCAACGTGGCAGGAGCTGCACGGGCCGGAGCACGAAGAGACCCGAGGGAGTCGCCGCAACCTGGAGCGATTCCAGGCAGGCCGGGAATCTCTACAGTACCGGTACCACAATTTCTAAGTGGCGGTCTTTTTGAGTCTCTAAAAGTTCTGCATTGGAATTCTTGTTCAGAAGTTTGAGCGATAGAAAATTATGAGGTTCTGCTCGTGTTCTTGCACTTGGGTTTAGCACCAGACACCTCCATGTTCTCCCCTCATTTAAGTAACAGTTGTTCATACCAACACGCTGAGTTGGTTTGGTCTCTTGAGCTCTGCACTGTGCTGCCAGCGGGATTTGCGTTTGACGTATTCCATTCGGCTGACTTGCAGGCCTTGCACTTATCAGCATGAGGCCTGATTGACATCGAGCCGAAAGCAGCTATGATCACATCTATCAATTATCTATGTATACTGTTTCACAATGTTTCATCCACATTCATGGGCCCACGATCGGTCCTTCGAAGAACCATCCTCAGTAAAAAAAAAAAACGTGTGCTGATGAACTGACCTCAGGAAAAGCATATTGGTTTTAACGGTCTAAAGACGGCAAGGCTTTTTTATGTCTTTACCTGAAACGCTGTGTGGACTACTGCTGATGCCCGGATCGCCTTGTGGCGGTTTCGGGCCTCAGGGAATCCAGTTGCGACGGATACATCTGCCGGAGACGACTTGTTTCAGGACTCACCCTATAAACGTTGGGTAGTTGGGTAGGCACAAGCACCATGACGAGGTGAACTTAGAGTACCGGCCATGAAGCCCTTAAGCCTTAAGGATAGACCGATCCAGGTAAGCCTTTGCGAAGTGATATGGATATCCAGCACAGGGTGATACGACTGTGATACGGGATTCTGTTGATATCCACCATATTTGAACATGATTGGTGATCCGATGATAATTAAATTCACTGCATGTAACATGTATAGGTAGATAATTGGTGCGCTGTGATATGATGCTGATTTGATGATAATTACATCGAATAGTTCAGACACCTTCTGTCAGTCCCAATTCAGAAATTGCACACCACTCCAGTGACACTTTTAAAGCATGCAGCATGATGGTGTGTAAAGTGTTGAAAGACATAAGACTTGGATCTTGCTCGTCGAGTGCACATTTGTTGCCGGAGCCATGTCTGGCACCCAACGGTATCAACAATTCTGTGAGGCTCAGGACTCAGGTGGGGAGACGTGACATGCCGTGGCTCCCTGGTTTCTGTCGATGGTTTCATCCCATGCAGAGACACCCCTGCTGTGTTGTTGGGAAAGGATCCACTGGCTGTTTGGAGGTTTCCTAAAGTGGGTACCTCCAAATCATGAAAAATTAGACCATATGGAAACCCATGGTTTTGGGGGATCCCTCAGTTTAAGAAACCTCTATTTGTTGTGAGGTCCTTGGCCACAAGCGCAGGCGAAAACGACCCCGAAAACTTCCACGGCCAGGCTCGGAGTCCGATGGCTCGGCGTGCGTGGATGCCACGGTCTCTGAGGAGACAAAGCCGACCTTCCTGGGGCTTTCGAAAAGAATTCAGCAGAGCTTTGCATTTGAAACCTCTTGTATACATTTGGTGGAAAGTATCAGACGACATGTTGATTCAAGAGAGAGTCTTGGCCACCAAACCGGAGGCCATGTTTTTAGCAGTAGCTCAACTGTTTTGCTTGCCAGCATCGGATACCGGATACCTTCAAAACTGCCATAAAAACAAGTGAATTTAGATGATGCTTGGTTCTCATGACAGGACGTTTTTCTGTGGTCACCGCCAGCCGAACTGATGACACGTATTTCTCTAACTTGAAGGAGAGCGAGTCTCGAAGTTGCCGCCGCTGCCGCCGCTTCGCAATGACGAGCTGTCGGTACCTTAGTCGAAAAAAGAGACACCTGAGATGATCTGTGAGGTCAGGCCCGCCAATACTAGCGGCATCTAGCGGCTAGCGCTTGTACCATCTTGTACCATGAAAGACTTTTTTCAGAAAGGATCGAGTTTCTGCAATTTCCGTTTCATATTGCGCCCTTGTGGCCAAATGACCCCAAAACCTCCATCCTTGTCCGCCGGCGAGGCTCTGATTCCGACGGCCCAGCGTGTGTGGATGGTGTCAGGGTCTTTGTTCAGGAGACAAAACCCGTGACCTTCCGGGATTTGGATATCTCAAGAGGTCAGCAGATTGCATTGAATAACTTTGTTGAAGCTCTCTCGGGACATGTCAATATATTATTTGGCTGCGCAAAATTTGGCCAAACTGCAAGCCGCAAACTGTATCCCACGTTTGCTGCAGTAGCTCAACTGTTTCGTCTGTCAATGTTGGGTACCTTCAAGAGGGAGGAGAAAAGTAATTAATGAAAAATCAGATGGTGCTTTGGTTTTGCAGACACGCCGTTTTTCTGGGGTCACTGTTTGCCAGCCAGACTTGTGAACCGCATTTCTGCGCCCAAGCGAGGAGGAGAGTGAGTCTCGAAGTTGCCGCAGCTTCGCAATGTCGAGCTGTGGGTGCCTCAATGTTTTCCTAGCGGTACTGTTATGTGTCATATAGTGACTTGGCCATTTGCAACTCCTGCTGTGCTACTGGCAGCTGTTTGTCTTACATAGATGGGACTTCCTCCGACAGAGAAACGAAGCAGCTTTTGCCCTGGCACGAGGTGTGGTTGTGCTTCTGCTGTTCTTCTGCGCCCTCCTAGTGTCAACACTGGGATTGAATTTTGACCTGACAATTTCTGACCTTGCCCAGGGAGACTTCCACCAAAGTCTTGTGGATCTCACTTCTGCTCTGCAGAAAATCTGGGTTGATTACTTTCTCCGTGCGCTGGAGCAACTCTTTGTACAGTTTCCATTGCTGTGTACATTTGTCTTGGGCCACTGGCCATGGGCACTTCTCGTCCTTCTGGTCCTTCTGGTGTTTTTTGGGCTTCCTCTACTTGTCGGCATGTGGGCGCCCATGAAGACCGGGTGCACCATGATTCAGGCCATGGAGACAAGTTTCACTAAATTGACCCACATGTCTGTCCATGTCGTCTTGCCAGTCGCGCTTTTCTATGGTGACTTGGTCAGTGATGCCTTGGTCATGAGCAAATTCTGGCAAGCTCAGCACTATCAATATTTCACGCTTAATGCCTTGGCTATTCTGGCTGGACTGGTGACCACAAGTGTGATAGGATCTGCAGGTATGGGCAGTGCAAGCGAGGCATTGCAGCCTATAAGGGGCTGCATGGCCGTGCTAACATTTCTGCATGTCATACCATTGTATTGCTTCTTCTTCGCATTTTGGCAATTCGCAGATGCAAAATTTGCCACATACAAGTCTGATGCCTTTGACCGCCGGCTGAGAGATAAAGGTCTCACCGCATTGATGGCTTCCTCAATCATTGGTGAGACATTTGGGGAAGCAATGCTGAGTTCGTTTGTGCAGCTGTACGCGGCACTTCGTCACGGACCACTGCAGTGGCCATCCCTCTTGGCATGTTCTGCTGCTCGGCCAAAAGCGTCATCTGGGGGAGGTCAGTTAGCGAGTCCTCTTCAAGCTGCACTTATTTAATTTTCTCAGTTGTGCAATCACTTGGTTGATGCCAAGATGGCTGAAGGCCCCCCAACTCTCCCCAAGAGATCGCAGCTTGTGTTGCAATGGACCTTTTGGAGTTGAGGAATACATGGTTTGCAGGGGAGACCGCTGTTCCGTGAGCAGTTGAATCATGTTCCAATCAAAGCTGCGACGGTCTTTCCACGCCTCGATGCAGATTTTGTGATCCCGCATTGATTGCAGCTTTACATGTCCGAACTGCATCCAGAACGTCTAGGATTGAAAGGCCTAGATAGTTGGCCCTGTCGCCTCAGGTTCTGCTGAGTCTGATCTCACTTGGTGAGTCCTTCTCCAAGATCGATAAGTGGCCCGGCCGAAGATATTTGGATTGGAGAAACCTTTTTGTAAAATCTTCCAGATTCCAAACTCTTCGTTTGCCTTTAGTTTTTTCTACTGGTTTTTGTCAACCTGGCTTGATCAAGGAAAGATGGTAAAGATGTCGTTGAAGAGTTGCTTTCACCACTTGCCCCGCAGGTTCGGTCATGTAAGTCGTTATCGACAGGGGCAGGCCGTTGTGGTCGGCCTAGCCAAGCCGCAGTCCGTGGCGTATGCCGCCCTGTTGCTCTACAGATGGCTGGCGGCCGCGCCCTCAGATGAACTGAGAGGAACCTACAGGAATCGATCCGGGGCAGGCCTGGTTGTTTTAGGTCGGTTGCATTTTGCGAACGTTACTATGACCTAGCTGAACAGAGGGACATATTCTCGGATTTAAGCGATTTGGCATTTGGAGCATGACGTCCCAAAATATGAACCCTGCAATGAAATCCAACCCGAAAGCCTTGTGGATATGGTTCAAGGGTACCCTGCGTCCGGTGTTTGGAGCCACCCTCGCCTTTGGTTTGTAGTGCCTTTTTCAATTGAACGCTTGGTGCCGCATAGGTCTGCAGCCGATTGCTTCTTTTCCCGCTGTTTCAGCTGGCATTGCGTGAGGACTGGCTATTTCTGCTCCTTGTTTTTGTTGATCAACGAGCAGGGAATTTGTGAATCAGAAAGTCTTGTTCCCAGCATTCTCAACGTCCAGCTTTGACTTAGTGACGCTTCTTGGGAGGAACTTCAGCTTTGGCATGTTGCTTACGGGGGCTCCCTTCTATGGATCGCTGATTGCATTCTCCAAGCAGGTCTGGTGTTTTACTGCACCAAGAATCGCCTGAAACTCTTCTTTGCGATTCCCAATACGCTCAGCTCGTTCGAGCCACTGCTTTTGAGCGGGGACGGTGCTTTGCTTTCTGCTTCCTGGCCTTGATTTGTTCTTTGCAAGTCTCTGCCAATGGTGGAAATCATGCTAATTACTGTTGTTTCAAAAATATGAAGACAATGTACACGGGAATTTGGGGCATATCATTGTTACACTTGGTGAACACGGCGAAATGACGCACGAAAAACATTCGCTATCATTCGCCGTCAAGTTCCATGCTTGTAAACCCAACTCTGCTGTGGGCTTTGTGCAGAGAATTAGAGAGCAGCGCATTGCACATGATTTTGAAGAACACATAAAACTGAAATAGCATGTCCAGGATTCCAAGTCTCATCCGAGGTGAATGTGGAGTTGCATGCACTTCTCCATTGTGCCGAGTCGGTGGCTGCAATCTGGATGGCCAGTGCATTTGGGAGTGGAGTCCCGGCATTGTGGGAAGAACACGGCTTTGCCCTCCGACTGTTCCTTGCCTCTAGTGTGATTCAATGGCCTTTACTCCTGATGCTGCGCTGCTTCTGTTCCCACCAACTTCCAAGCCATGATTTCCTGGCTGTGAGGGATGATTGCCTTTCTGAAGAAGCACAAAGCATGTGCGACTCTTGTGACGCAAAGATCCCGTTATATGTGGCGGCAATTGTTCCCTTCACGATGAAAGTGGCTGTGATGTGGCAAAGTTGTTTGATCTCATGATGAAGGGCCAGGCATCGGCACAGGTGGCAGCCCAAATCTGTGACCTCATCAAGCGCCATGTCCTTCCAAAGAAGAGCTCCGAACTCCCTGCAGCTGTGACGGCCGCAAGCTGTATGCAAGCCATCTTGTGCGCCATGGATGCACACTTGTCCAGCCCGGAAGTGCAGGAACAAGCTGTGTGGTGCTTGAAGAATTTGGGATTGAACCGACCGGAAAACGAAGAGACATTGATGACGCTGGGAGGCGCTGAGGCTATTTTGAGGGCCATGACGGAGCACTGCAGCAATGAAGCGGTGCAAAAGGAAGGCTGCGTGGCGCTGGCTAAATTGACCACGGAACACCAGAACGTCTTGAGGTTTCTGAGTCTTGGAGCAGATCAGGTCATTTTGGATGCCCTGCGAAACTACACAACCAGCACTGGTGTGCAATGGTGGGCTTTTCAAACCTTCGGAAATTTGGCCGAGACCAGCGAGGGAAGAGCCAAGTTGCGTGAACACCTGGCAGCTGACGTCATCGACGCTGCCATGAGAAACGGCAACTCTGAGATCCAAGCGAAAGGCCAACAGCTTCTTGAAAAGTTGGCGCAGGGTGGCCACACAGGGCCATGAGATGTGACGTTGTTTTGCTGTGCAGAAGCTTCTCCAGTGTGCCAAGATAGGCGCACATTGGGCAGGGGTTGGCTCAGGTGGTTATCTTGCATTTTTGGGATTTCATGTTTGGCTCAGAGAACCATGTCGCAATAATCTACTTTTGGAGTGAACGGGCCCACCTTTGATTAGTGGTGGGCAGTAGCCAGTTCTTCTGAGCAAGTGCAACATGGTGCAGCATATGCCAGCCACGGTAATTGGAGCCATGAGAAATTCCCCATTTTTGGGCAGAACCAGCCCATTTTTGCTGGTGGGTTCTCTTCCAAGAAATCCTTTCGCAGTTCGGAAGAAATCCCCCATGTCCTGTGGCGCCCAGTGGCGAAGCGGCAGGTGTTGAACTTCCATGGTGCTGAAATCACCTGGAGCTGTGACTGGGCTCCAGGTGAAGCAGCGCGACCCCAAATGCAGAGAAAAACGGTTCTCATCCGACACATGGCCCAGTCATATGCCTGAGTATGCCTGAGAATTTTCCATAGGCAATCAATGGCAATCAGCTACCCCCACATCTTATATAGGCAGATTGGATTTTCTAGCGATGTTAACAGCAGGACAACACATTTCAATGATATCCTGCGCCTTGACATTTTCTAAGGAAAAGCATCTCTGAGAGCATTTGATTTGGGGTTCAAGACATGTATATAAAATTATATAAACAACGTTGCTTATTTGATTCTCTAGATGTCAATGTCTATTTGGGTTTGGACCATGAGTTTGATGCTGAAAGGAATGCAGGCACGAGTAGCTGGGTTCTGGACAGTGCGAAGCCAGTTGCTTACGTTCACACGACTGGCTTGAAGTGATCATTCCCAGCACAGTGCAAGTAGTATGGAAGGAAAAAAACATGCAGACTACAAGGGTTGCATCTTGCTCACCCTCATGCCCGGTTAACAAAGAGCCAAGCCTTTCTCCCACTTACCTGGGACCTATCCAAGCTCGGGGGATCTCGGGAGAGGAATATCAACATGTTGAACCAATGTCTGAGCTTCATTGGTGCCAGCCGTCCTAAGGATGTGACCTTTCACAGCTGGAACCAGGCGCTGCAGAGGGCGTCCATGGGGATTCCATGGGACCTTGGGATCTGCGTTGAATCTTTGGAAAGGACGGCTGGAAAGTTGAACGGCTGGAACCCCCGAATGGTGGCCAAGTTTCTGTGATTGCTCAGCGCTCATGATTTTTGTATCGGATCTACTTAGTAGGCTCCTTCATGGCTTCAAAAGTTTGGAGCTTGTGTGGTTGGAAAAAGAGAATGGACAGTCCAAAGAAATCATTGATATTGGCCTACAAAGGATGAATGCCCTTTGCGCACCAGGTTCCAACTTCCTGAGGTCAAGAACACTACATGGGATGAAAATCCCCCCAACTACGAAAAGGTCTGAAGCCTTGTGCTTAGGGATCAAAAAAAAAAGGGTCTAAAATGGTTTTTCTATCAGATTAGACCCTGGCCAGCTACCACCTCAGACCCTCAACATGTACATGCTGGAAAGTGAGAACTTCACATTAGACCTTTTGCCTAACTCATAGAGAACTTCATCTTAGACCCTTTGCTGGTTTTTGATCAACTTTGATGAGATGAACCACCACCCCTGAATGGACCTAACAACGATTGCAACCATCCTCCCAAAAACAAACACAATGGTTTCATATGGTTTCATCATATCACGTATCCTCGGCAGTGATGATCTGTGACGAAGTGATGCTGCATTAGGGTCTGAAATGAAATCCTGCTGCCTTCAAGCAAACGTTTCATACAAGCAACGGATAGGGAAAACCATAATAGACCCACAGGTGTGACACCAAGGCTGATTTCAACCCTGGGAATGAAACATATGTCAAACAACGATTGCAACCATCCTCCCAAAAACAAACGCAATGGTTTCATATGGTTTCATCATATCACGTATCCTTGGCAGATCTTGGCAGTGATGGTCTGTGATGAAGTGATGCTGCATTAGGGTCTGAAATGAAATCCTGCTGCCTTCAAGCAAACCTCTCATACAAGCAACAGAGGGAACACCATAATAGACCCACAGATGTGACACCAAGGCTGATTTCAACCCTGGGAAATTAACATATGTCAAACAACGATTGCAACCATCCTCCCACAAGCAAACACAATGGTTTCATATTGTTTTTATCATATCACGTATCCTCGGCAGTGATGGTCTGTGATGAAGTGATGCTGCATTAGGGTCTGAAATGAAATCCTGCTGCCTTCAAGCAAACGTTTCATACAAGCAACGGATAGGGAAAACCATAATAGACCCACAGGTGTGACACCAAGGCTGATTTCAACCCTGGGAATGAAACATATGTCAAACAACGATTGCAACCATCCTCCCAAAAACAAACCCAATGGTTTCATATGGTTTCAACATATCACGTATCCTCGGCAGATCTTGGCAGTGATGGTCTGTGATGAAGTGATGCTGCATTAGGGTCTGAAATGAAATCCTGCTGCCTTCAAGCAAACCTTTCATACAAGCAACGGATAGGGAAAACCATAATAGACCCACAGGTGTGACACCAAGGCTGATTTCAGCCCTGGGAATGAAACATATGTCAAACAACGATTGCAACCATCCTCCCAAAAACAATCACAATGGTTTCATATGGTTTTATCAAGTGCGCAACATCAAAGCAGACCCTACTTGGACTCCCATTCCCTTGCCCGAAGAAAATGGCCTCATCAAGTTTCATCTTGATACCGTCAACACCTTTCGTGACATCGGCGTTCATCTTCAGGCCAAGGCATTCGTATGAAATGATGAAACTTGGAGACCCACGAGAGCACCAGTAGACCTTGTCATCGCTTGAGTCCGGAGATGCGCCTTAGAATCTGAAGGGTTCGTCATCAAAGAAATGCACTGCAGAAGTCTGGAGAACAAATACGATCAAACTAAACCAGTGGAAAAAAAAACAGCTTTATCACAAAACCAGGCGCGCACAACCCGAGCCGCATGCAAGTTGCCACGCGCAAGCGGTCTTGCGACAAGCTGCCCGCCTCCAGATTTGGCAGCAAAGGTGCGCCAAACAGCGGTTACACATCCAAGTTCCCACTTCTGCTTATGTCGGAAAGCAACCGCATCACCCATGTCAACCTCAAGCATTGGCGGCAGGGTCGGCGCTGTTGCTGCTGACAACCAGCACCCAAGGGTCTAATCTGAAGTTACCAGTTTCCAGAAACATACAACATCAGCATGTTGATGATCTCTGCTGGATCCCTATGGTAGGTCTGAGATGGTTGGTGCAAAATAGGTCGATTTGCATAGGGAAATTTCAATTAGACCCGGGTAAAAGGGTCTAAACTGAAAATACCTATAGTCCCTAGCTAGTAGTTGAGAGGATGGATGAAAGGATAAGCATACCTGACAGTAAATGCCATTACATGATTTATCCGACCAACCATGATTCATGTAGATTCCTTTTTTGTATTTTTGAATTATTTTTGGAAGAAAACTGAACCTCTATACAATACTTGTCACACTTCAACGCTCAGCTCAATCATGTCCCCTCGGTTGACGCAATGCTTCATCGCTGCAAGGCCCTGCCAGAAGCTTTGCTGAGCAGAACTTGCACCGTTTTAGGCAGTGCGGAATGTTCCTGTGAAGTCGTTCAATCGCAGAGTTGGTCTAGGGTCATTGTTGTGAGTGCGGCGATAGTTTTTTCCGTTGTCCAACTTTTTCTCCATATTTTTTCCAGCAATCTTTTGACAATTGTTCAACTGATTGGAAAATCGACCAGTGTCCTTGGCAGGAGAACCATCCTGCCGGCCCGTCTGATGTTTTTTCAAAGCGCGAAGTGGAAGATCTATGAAAATTGCAATGTTTGATAGGTAAATCATCATGTTTATAAGATTCAATAAGTGGGTCGTGTGAGCCATAGCAATCTTGAATTACAAGAGGGTAGCAAAAATTGGAATGTTGATCAGCAAAATCAAGGGGGTTTAACCACATACATCAAATCATGTGAGATCATGTGATTAGATGGTAACGCAGTGTACAAACATAGACAAGACTATCTATATTCCCTCAATGCTAAATTCATAAACAGTGTCCGAGCATATACAACCGACATTCGATAGAACATTGTCTTCAAGCCATATTCTACCAATATTGACCCTCCAACTTCCACCATATTCAACCTTTTGTTTCATCCCTTTTCAAACTAACAGCCATGCGACCGTAGAGTAAGCTGCTTCCATCTTCCAACACGCTCTGCACATCCGCAGCACCAACGGCCTGCCATATGATCCCCATCTAATTCTCCCATGGAATTTCCAACATTTGCTTTTAGATGGGTAGATAGAATCCTTAAGTTTCTGGCAAAAAACAGCTAATCAGCTTTGGTAATTAG